TGAATTCTTCGGCCGGCACAACTGCAATCTTTGATGTGCACTGCAAGGACCGGATCTTTCTTTGTTACTGGGCTGGCTCATTTTTAGCCCAAGCGGCCAAGCCCAATCCGCTTTGGTAGAACGGGAGCCCCAATACCCACATCTTCTACCGACCGACTGGTGCTCAGGCAGCGGTCGCCGTCGAGCAGCGATCTCATCATGCAGTCAACCAATCCTGAAACTCACCAAGCTTTCAGTAGGAAATTTCATGTACTTCTTGCGCGGTTGCGCCTTTGTCGCCTCCATGCCATTCTACACCATGATGCCCTGGCTCGCTCACCGGTCTCTTTTGCTCCTGCAACGGACGCTAGCGGCAGCTTAGTGATTTGAGATCCAGAATCATCCATGGCAATGGCAAAGGTAACAAGTTACTATTACCTTTTTCCTTTTGTCTTGTTATTGCTTTGCAAAATCTCAAGTAATAGATGTGCTCAGACCCATGCCCACCCATGACCCATCCATTAGCATCGTAGATCATTAGGAATTTTTGTCTAGCTTATTTTGATTTTTTTTTGAACGCAATGGCAGGAGCTCTGCCTTTCAATAAAGCTGGGGAAAAGAGAGTTTATGTACAAACAAAGGCAGTCGAGGTTAGGAATACAAACCCCCACAAGCATGCAAATTAGGGAAACGCACGGCCCAGAAGGTGAGGGGCATCGGCTATACATAAACGAGTGCTCTCTTCCTTTGCTCTATATCTTCCTTTATCTTTGCGGCCACCTGCGGCACCGTCTGTATCTTGTTGTCGAAAATTCTCCTATTTCTCTCTTTCCAAATGTTCCAAAAGGTGTAGATTACTACACCATTAAGCCGCCTACGCTCGGATCTTGGCACTTTCATCGCCACCTCTTCCCACCATGATCTGATATCGGTGGGTTGCACCTGGGGTTGCTGCTGGATCTGAGTGAAGTTCTCCCACGGGAAGATTTGATTCCAAATCGCCTTTGCGAAGGGGCAACATAGGCATAGGTGGAGGCCGGTCTCTAAAGGACCATTGCAGAGCACGCATTGTTGATGGTGTGGCCACCCTCTCCTCTGTAGGTTTTGTGCCGTTAGAATTTTATCTTGCACTAAGATCCAGGCAAAGATCTTGTATTTGTTCTCCACTTGTGCTTTCCAGATCAACTCTGTACTGAAGGGGACGAGCGAGCCTCTGAACTGTATTCTGTAAGCCGAGCGGGTGGAGTATTTCGCATCACCGGTCCACCGCCAGTTGATGGTGTCCTGGACGCCCTGCTATAGGTGCACAACTTGTATCCGTATCCAAAGGGACACAAACTCCTCTATGTGGACAGCCGAGGTGATTTTCCTTTGTAGCTTGCGTATCCAATTGTTGTTCCGGAGCTCTTGTTTTTATCTCAACTTATTTTGATTTTTTGTCTCATTGAGTTGTAAAAATAATATGTACTACAGAAAGGGCAGAATAGGATGGAACTAAATCATGGCAAGATCATTAGGAATTGAAGCAACATGACTCTTTAAACTATTACACACAAGCCAAGTCCACTTTAAATTTGATGCGTTGCAGATAAGTAGCACTACATGGTGACAAGCCGACAAGTTACTATTAATTCATCAGATACAGATACGGTGGAAAAACTCAAATACATTTTCATGCAGGCACTATGGACTACTCTACAACACAGTAGGAGATAAGTTTGTCTCGAATATTCAGTACATAATGACGATGTATTCTCCAATATATTTTTTATGACACTGGATGACTTTCAGAATTCAGATTAGACGAAAGGCTTTGGGGGCATCTGCAGATTCTCCAACCTCCCTGTTAACATGTTCACCACTTTTGTCATTGAGGGTCGATTTTTTGGGTTCCACTGAATGCACCATAGGGCCACCATGGCTAGCTGTCTCACCTTTTCTTTCTCTCCTCCAGTCATTTCCCTAGAAAGTACCAAGTCCTGCCTAGTGATTACTCTCTCAAAGATCCACTCTGGGAGGTAAACTTCACTTTGGCTATCAACGCTTGGGTCTGAGTTCCTCCTTCCACTTACCATTTCTAACACCAGCATGCCAAAACTGTAAACATCCGACTTGTAGGATACCCCACCAAAATTCCGAGAGTACAACTCTGGTGCAATATATCCCATAGTGCCTCTTGCTGCTGTCAAGGTAACGATGCTTTGATCTCTTGCACACAGTTTTGCTAGGCCAAAGTCTGAGATCTTTGGATTGAAGTTAAAGTCTAGCAAGATGTTGTGAGGTTTGATGTCAAAGTGGAGGATGCGTTTATTGCATCCTTGATGTAGGTATTCCATTCCTCGAGCAATACCTAAAGCAATATCTATCATTTTCTTTGGCACTAGTAGTTCCTGGGAAATACTAGAATCACATGAGAATATATATTTTTCCAGTGACTCATTAGGCATGTATTCATAAATAAGGGCACGCCTTGTTCCTTCAGAGCAAAAACCCAGGAGACGCACAATATTTGCATGGTGGATTAGTCCTATGGTTGCAACTTCATTGATGAATTCTTCTCCCTCTCCTGTAGAGTTCTCTAGCATTTTGACTGCCACTGGCACTCCATTTGGTAGCTTGCCTTTGTATACACTCCCAAATCCACCTTGGCCTACTTTTTCCTTAAATCGCCTTGTTATCTTCTTAACTTCAGAGAAACTGTACCTTGTGGGTTTTGATGTGCCATATGTCTTGAGAAACATTTCGACCTTCAAGTGTATCTCCTCATTATATCTTGTCTTAAGTGAAAGATAGAGTCCAGTGGCCACAATCGACAGAAGAACCACTATTGTGGCAACCGATGATGTAGCTGGCAAGCAGAGAACAGGAAATCATTAACTGTGTCTCGATAGGAAGGCACCACTTGGTGTTGTTAATGGTTCTGGGATAATGTTAAGCGCCATAGTTGAGAAATATAAGAATTTGTGTGTAATGAATATCCCTTTTTATTTTGGATAAAAGGAATGTTTGATTAGCAGCAGTACCTGCAATTACCTTGACATGTGAACCTGCGAACAGCAAACAAGAAAAATAAGTCTCTATCGATGGTTTAGTATGAAATGATGATTTGTTGAGAAAGAAAAGGTAAGATCCAATATTTTAGTACAATTAGCTGCATGATGTGGCCCCGCGTACAGCGTGTACAATAAAAGTTCTGTTTTTTTAAGAATCAACATACTGTATTTGCATGGATATAATGTAAAAGAGTAATTCTCCTTACATGTTTCTAAGCATGTTTGATCACAAGCAAGGTTCCTTAAGAGAAAATGCAAATATCAGAGGCAAGTTTGTGGTGCCATCTCTGGTGATTAACCAGGTTGTACCGTTTTGCCCCAGCCAACTGTAAGCTGCATCCAGCATGCAATCTCTCTTCAGAACTACCTGGTTTGCTACAGACAACCAATTTCACATTGGTTCTTTATTCATTTGCTTTATGCAGTGTTTGTTCTTTTCTGCTATTATCCCTTCCATTGCCCTCCTTATAGGCAGTTATTATCTTGCTAGCATACCACTTTGTGCGAGTTGCATTCACTTTCAGCAGTATTACACATCAATTTGTTTTCTCAAGTGTTTCTGTCGATTTTCTTTCTTCAGACAAATTACCCCTTCAAATTCATCTCCCTTTTTCAGGAGCACACATCAGTGAAATTTGCAGCTATTTTGGTTGTAGCCTCTACTAGACTACTACTGCTGCTCTTGGATGATGCAAATATATAATCTCAATGTCAAGATGATAAAGCAAAGGTGATAGACCCAAACAATCCTAGCTCAGTTGCCAAGTAACGTGTTCTGAACTCCCAGCCTAGATAAATTCCATTTATCTGGTAATTTCAATAGTATATGTTGTATTGGAGGTGTTGCTTTGCTTTTATTTTATCTCAGTTATGCATTTTTTTATCCTTATGAAAATGCTCAACAATAGTACAGTAAATTTTGCATGTAAAAGTTTTTGCCACCAATTGTATATGAAAGCAATGATAGGAGCTCTGCCTTTCAATTATGAAGAAAGCAAATAGAGTTAATTACAAGAGTGTCAAAGGGGCACCTGATAGGCTCCCCAGCCTGCCAGTACACAAGAGAAGAGATAGAGTGCCAAGAACCAGAAACGGTAAGGCCTTTACAAAGTCCAAGCAAATGCTATCCTTCTCAATGCTAAATCCTCTCAAGACTTTATTAGTAACCTGTTGCTCCGTTTGGAGCTCATTGTTAAAAATTCTTATGTTTCACTCTTTCCAGACGTTCCACCAAGTGTTACAAGTGCGTTTTTGGTCTTTGGGTATGGTCCTCACCGTAGCTTACCACCATTTAGCTATGGTGTCAAAATTTTAGTGTAAAATCTGTTGGGCTGCACTGAATTGCTCCAGGTCCGAAAAACCTTCCGCACTTCTTGAGCTTACGGGCAGTGCAAGGGAAGATGAGGCGATCATGTGAATTGCCATTATCCTCTATTCTAGTCATCTAATTTTGAAACTGCATTGTCATAATTATCACATAGTTACAAGTGTGTTCTGTATTTATTTACATTCTGCTTTACCAATTTAATTCCTTATTTGTTTCCCTTTCCATTAATTAATTATTTGAAACATCGTTATATGGGTATTTTTGGCAGTAGTGCCCAACGTACTACATGTAGTGAAGGGTTAGGGTGTTAAAATGCTTGTAAAAATGGGTCTGACTACTTGTATATCAAGTGCATGTTTATAATTTTTCTCTTTTGCGATTTTGATTAGATTGGTTGCCATTAGTTTTCTTGGGTGAGGCTCCCCAACAAATGAGCTGCAGTGCTACTCTGTAAAATAAGCTGACAATTATCTACGAAACATCAAAGAATTGCATAGTAGCATTTGAATAGACGTAAATGAATAATGTAAGGAGTTGTAATGTAAGAAACGATAGGACTATGTGGTGGTGCTCCTTAAAAAAAAAGAAAAAAAAAGATTGAACCATGTGGCTGTATGGTTTTGTCCAATTAGAGATAATACCGTGATTCATGCAGAAGGTTTGATTCCTGTCTGGTCTGAACCCACAGCGTCGCCCACCTCGTTCACACAGTGTGCAGTTGTTTATGATGCCACTGCCATCAACACTTCTATAATAATACCAATCGATCGTTCTCGACCATGAGAAATTCAGTATTGTTTCTGCTTGCTCCTTGAATGTTGAATCGTCATTGGGAGTGTCCATCATCAGAAAGTAGGTATCAGGCACAACCTTGCAATCTAATGGAAGCACAGACATGGGTGCATAACCAGCCACCAAATAGGAGAAGTGGGATGCGCTGCCAAGGCACGAGATTGGTCCGAAGATGTAATTAGCAGCAAGATTACTTGGTGTGAACTCTCTTAAGCAGCTTACTATCGTTGCATATCCAAGATTGCATAGCAGTGAGCAGGGGTCCGGGGCCTCACATTTGATAATACTGCGAGGTAGGGACGCGGACATGAGCTTCTGCTTGCAGGAGGAAGACGAGTCTTCCACACGCGGGGCGATCGTGAGGGTACCACTCTTGTAGTCTATGGCGGTCACTTTGTACTGGATAACGGCTGCTGGGAGAACCAGAATGGTCTCGTCGCCGGAGCATCCTAGCTTCATGCATGGTGCTCCGCATAATGATGAGGTATTGCTGGATTCGAGCCGGAAAGGGTACCTGATCTCCGGACCATGTTTGCTGCACCGAGATGGTGGGCAGTTGCTGAAGAAGTCGGCATCAGCCCAAGCCATGGCCCCGTACACTCCATCTATGAGAAGACACAACAGCAGGGCTATTACATGAAATTCAGTCATCTCTCTCTTTTTGTTTGTTTCTTTTTTCAGCAGAGCTATGAAACAAGAGCATGCGGAAGAGGATCGGAGGAAATTCTGGAGTAGTGGTTATGTCGATGTGGAGTGGAGGACGTCCAACTCAAACTCATAACTGTAGTAACTGAGAGAAGGAAGAAGAGGCTGAGGAGGTGGAAGCAAATAAGGTGCTCTAAGTTTCCATGAAACTTCCGTGTGCTCAAGTTGACTTAGAGTCAACGCTGCTCAGTCCTGTCTTTGTTGAAGACTTGGAAAGAAAGAAGTTTTGTCCAAGTCAAAAGGCATCTCAAATCATGCCGGGCCTGCTGTGCTTAAATAACTAACTAAAGCTTTTTCTTGACTTTATTTCCGTGACTGCAGATCACAGCTGGTGGGCGAACCAGGGCTTTGCTAGTTTCATGCTCTGGCGTGTCAGATTCTTTGCCATTTAGATTTTCTTTTTTTATCAGAAAATTGTCATTATCGTCTGGTCATCCACATTATTATCGTTCTCGATATGAAAAGGTACCTGATCTCTGGACCATGTTTGCTGAACAGACATGGCGGACACAGCAGCAGAGCTATGATAAGAAATCCACTCAAGCTTCCATATCAATAGTAACTGAGAAAAAGAGGAAGACGTGGAAGTTTTTAAATAAGTCTGTGAAGTTAAATTAGTAAAGACAATTGTATGGCTGAGGAGAAATTCCAAGTTTCCATACAGCCCACTGTTTTCTCGTGGAAAGAAGACCACCAGTCAAAAAGTGCGGTGATGCATGTTATTTGTCTTGGAGAGTATCTGGTCCAAAGTCAAAAACGCATCCCAGTCATGTCAGGCCTGCTGTTCTCAATCAAATAACTAAGCGTCCTTCTCAGCCTGTCCATAACCAATTAACAACCTATCTAGCATTCCTGCATCTAAAATCTCTCATGGCGAACTCGTGTACAGCATTTCTTCATCCTTCTGCTATCTGGCAAGCTTTACTTGTCTTTATTTCTGTGGCTGCAGTTCGGGCTACAGATGCTGGGGGCCAAGGTCAGTGTCCTCCCTTTCTCCTGTGGTGATCTTCACAACATATCCTACCCTTTCCGTAGGCCAGGCGATGCACCTGAGTGCGGTGTAAAAGCATACAAGCTGGTCTGTATCCACGGCAAATCCACAATTCGCATCAACACGGGGACATATTTTGTCACCAGCATCAACTATACTGATTCGACCACAGACGCACTCCTATTTGAACTTGTCAACGGTAATTAACCTGGATAAAAAAAAGTAATAGAACAAGGTGTATGAGTCCAGGTCACATACACGACCTAATACATTTTGGAATCGGACTCCGTGTCGCACTAGATAAGAGCTATTCTAACTTGTATGAGCACGGGTTTATATAAGTCTGGACGGAAGAAACTCTCCATTATGCGGTAGTTATAGAGAGACGGACCAAAAAAATGGACAGACAAAGAAATGTGAAGAAAAATGTTGCCTCTTTATTATTAGGTATAGATAAGGTTCGCATTGCCATAGAGTCCTTGCATTCCATGGTACGGCAAGGTAGGGCTGCTGACATGATCTTCTGCCCGCATTAGGGAGAGGAGTCGTCCACACGCGTGACGAGCCTCAGGGTACCACTCCTATAATCTCTATGGCTGTCACTTTGTACGGGATAGCGGCGCCTGCAGAGGTAACCAGAATGGTGTCGTCGCCAGAGCATCCTAGCTTGATGCATGGTATTTTTGCTCCGCATAATGACGAGGTATTGCTGGATTGGAGCAGGAAAGGCTAAGGGATGGCGGACAGTAGCTGAAGTAGTCCGCATCATCCCCTGCCGTGGCCTTGTACCCTCCATCTTTGAGAAGACACAACAGCAGAGCTAGGACAAGTAATCCAGTCATCTCTTTTAGCGGTGCTATGCAGCAAGTTTTTGAGAACTCAAGTTCTTATGGATTAGCTTCAAGGACCGGGCCAAGTTGTGCAGTGGTGTTATTAATTGTAGTTATGTCGATGAGGAGGAAGTCCGCCAAGGACTCTGATTGAAAACTTGTTGCCGTGCTCTAGGGAGTCGAGTGCGACTGCAGAGTTAACACAAGCCAGTCCTGTCTCATCAACATTAAATAACTGTGGAAAAAAAGAAGCCCTTCCCTTTGGAAGAGGATTATTGGTTTGACTTGGAAAATATTTTGGTCCAAGTCAAGCAGCATCACAATCATGCAGGGCCAGCGTCTGGTAACTTAGTACATTATTGGCTTATCTATAATTAGGCTATCTTCATCACTCCTAACTTCCTAAGCTAGTAGCTAGCTTGCTGCATCCTGCACCGGAACTCTCTCATGGCGAACTCGTGTGTAGCATTTCTTCATCCTTCTGCTATCTGGCAAGCTTTACTTGTCTTTAGTTCTGTGGCTGCAGTTCATGCTGTGGATGTTGGGGGCCAAGGTCAGTGTCCTCCTTTCTCCTGTGGTAATCTTCACAACATATCCAACCCTTTCCGTAGGCCAGGCGACCTAGAAGAGTGCGGTGTAAAAGCATACGAGCTGGTCTGTAGCCATGGCAAGGCAACAATTCGCATCAACACAGGGACATATTTTGTCACCAGCATCAACTATACCGATCACTCCTTCTGGGTTGTGGACGCCAACTTGGATATGCACAGCAGCTGCCCTCTTCCTCGCTGGGATCAGCTTCCTTACACTTATGATGGATCGTACTGGACAAGTGGTTTGCATTTCCATTATGATTTATGCACTGAGGATACCGATATTTGGGCATGCTTCGTTAATTGTTCAAAGTCAATAACAAATAGTAGCAGGTACAAGCCCGTCAATTGCCTGAGTGCGAACAATTCCTTTGTTTATGCCATGGTTAGTTATTATTTAAGTGGTTGCCTAGTCAACGATCTTGAACCTTCTTGTGGATACTTGGCCATGACCCCCTTTGTCTATAGAGGTAGCTGGCGTACGGAGTACCCGTTAGAGAATGCCAGTTATACAAATATCATAGAATATGTAAGGAAGGGATTTGCTGTTCGACTTCCTTATGATTCTTATTCAGGCCGGAATGCTTCTTGGATATTCAAAAGATGCCGAAATAATTCAACCAGGTGAGCCTGTGTTCCGCATCGAGTATGAAACCGATATATCTTGTTGTCCCGTTTCCTTTGTAATATATATCATATAGTTATCCAAAACTGTATGCTTCCTTCTTTAATTCCTTTCTTTATAATGGTGTCTTGCAGCTACTTCCATGAGCAATTATTTGGCACAAGCATCCTGAATTGGACCCGTGCTTTCTTCTGGAGTGAATCACATTTCGTACAATGTGTATACTCATACCATACCCCAAATCATATGTTCCAGTGGTTTGTGATAGCCATAGTGTCTGCTATAAGTGTGGCCAAGTTATATTTTGGTACGTGGGGTGGGCCTACTTCTTTCTAATCATATTAGCTACCGTTTTCATTAACCTGCTTATGTTGTCTAACTTTATATTTGTTTCAACTTTTTTATGTAGTATTATGCAGGCTTGTACTCCCAGCACTGGTAGTATTCACATTCCTTGCCTACAAGTACTGGAAAACAAGGATAACGATTGATGCAGTCGAGAAGTTCCTCCAGATGCAACAACTGCTTGGTCCGATTAGGTTTGCCTACACGGACATCACTGCAATCACTAACCATTTTAGAGACAAGCTAGGTCAAGGAGGATATGGATCCGTATACAAGGGTGTGCTACTCCTAGGCGATGTGCATGTAGCCATCAAGATCCTAGGAGGCTCCAACTGCAACGGGGACGAGTTCATCAGTGAGGTCTCCACCATCGGTAGGATCCACCATGTCAACGTGGTTCGTCTTGTGGGCTTCTGTGCAGAGGAAATGAGGAGGGCACTGGTCTATGAGTACATGCCCAATGGTTCTCTTGACAAGTACATATTCTCAGCTGAGAGAAGTTTCTCTTGGGATAAGCTCAACGAAATTGCTTTGGGCATTGCAAGGGGAATCAACTATTTGCATCTGGGTTGTGATATGCAGATCCTTCACTTTGACATCAAGCCACACAACATCCTTCTTGACAGCAATTTTGTTCCAAAAGTTGCAGACTTTGGCCTCGCCAAGTTGTACCCGAGAGACAAGAGCTTTGTGCCAGCGAGCGCCATGTGGGGAACTATTGGGTACATAGCTCCTGAAATGGTATCTCGTAGCTTTGGTGCCATATCAAGCAAATCTGATGTTTATAGCTTTGGTATGCTACTGCTGGAGATGGCTGGAGGGCGAAGGAATGCAGACCAAAATACAGCCAACTCAAGTCGAGCATACTATCCTGCTTGGGTTTATGACCGTCTAGCTGCACAAGAAGTTGGTGAGATATCTATTGTGGCGGACATGCATGAGTTGGAGAGGAAGCTGTGCATTGTTGGGCTAGGGTGCATTCAGATGAAGCCGCAGGATCGTCCGACCATGAGTGAAGTTATAGATATGCTTGAGTGTGGCATTGATGGCCTGCAAATGCCTTCTAGGCCATTCTTCTGCGATGATCATATGGTTGATATAGATTCTTACCATTTCATGTCAGAGCTGAATGCAATTGAGGAGGAAGATGATTGAAATATTTACATATCTTTGTGCTTAGGTAGTAGATAAGGTGAGCAAACATTAGCTTGTGAAACCTGAGATAGCCCGTTATGTGTGTATCCTGTTAAGCATTTTCATGATAGTCCAATAAGTTTTATGGTACATGGTTTTCTGATTCCTGTAAACATTTATGAGAAAACATGTATAGCTTAAGATGGAGTTTGATTGACAGCTGTTTTTTCTGATAAGAAGATTGGCAAATGTTATATCATGTTCGGATGTAGTATTTTTCCAGAAAAGGTAAGATGCAATATTGTAGTACATGTAGCTACATGATGTGGCCTCAGCTCCCGGTGTATACAACAGTTCTATTCTTTTAGGAATGGCTATGCTGTAATTGCATTAATATAAATGTAAAAGAGTAATGCTCCTAACATTTACATATTTTCAACATATATCCTAACATGCAAGCTTCTTTTAGAGAAAAAGTAAAAATCAGATGCATGTTGCTGCTATCTCTGGTACTTAACTGGGTCATAGTTTTCCTACTAGTGTGCTTCTTTTTTCCCCAGCCAAAGTTCGCTGCTGTCTCCACTCTCGAGTCCCATTGTCCCAACACATGGAACTACCTGATTTGCTACTGACAAGCAGTGCCACATAGATTACTTATGGGCAATGCTATAACTCCCATAACCTTCTAGGAGGTAATAGTTCAAAGCAATCCGAGTCATTGTTGATATATTATAGCTTTACTAGTTCAGTGTCCGTGCGTTGCTACGGGTAGAACATATGTAAAATCTCATGGCATCACAAATAATCAATACCAAAACACATAATTCAAACTGATAAATAGTGTTTCAAGATCGTGATCCTCCAGCCCATTACCAAGAGCGCCACAGTCATCATCGCTACAAAGAGGGACAACCACAGGGTCTCCCGCCCAACAAGCTGTCAGAAGATAATGAAATTTCATCTGCATCTTCATCAGGCTACCCAGGTTGTCGTGGATGGGTGACTGAGCTGGAGAAGCACGGCAACCTTTCGAAGGGGCCGGGAGCTTCAGCTTCATGATCGACACCGGCCTAACAAAGTGGCAGCGGCCAAGGAGGAGAGAGGGTAGTAGGACCACTATGGCCAGGACGCCAGTGTCAGAGACATCGGCCCTTACAAGAACCTCGTCAGGTTCACCTCCAGCTCCTTCGACCTCACAGCCTCGACCCTGCTAACCAAGCTGAGCACTACAGCATGTGGACTTGCGGCCTCTGAATCACCACCACAAGCTGTAGAGCTCCTTGTTGATGGGGATGGCAGCAAGAGCTGACAATTTGGTATTTTCATTGAGGGTGGACTGTAATTTCTTTCTTTGATATTTCTTCACAATATCTAATTCAAAACCTTCCAGATATCTAATTGTCTATTGGGGCCAAACCCCTAGCTAAATCTGCTAGGCCCTCCTGGAATCTTTTTCTCCCCTCTTTTCTTCTCCCTTTGTTTCCAAACTTTTCTTACCTTCCATTAGTAGTGTACATTATGTACAATACATATAATAATACCACAGTAGTGGAAGCAACTACTGTATCTGTTTTCTGTTTCCACAACAATTAGAGCAATGAGAAAGAGCACTAAGAGAGTAAGAGAGTAAGGGAGTAGGCTAGTGGGTCTTACAGGTCTGAGCTTGTTGCCCAAGGGCGCCATTGATGAAGGCAGTGTTGATATTGGATAAATTTGGATGTACATGGCAGAATTGAGAGAAAAAAATCCTGCCTTAATCAATGAAAATAGCATTATCATGTGCTGTTTGACTAAAAGGAAAATACAGTGCTAACTGAAATACTGGATATGACACTCAATGTTTCTATTATTGTTGTTCTATAATGAAATGCAAGTCAGTGTAATCAACAATAATATTTAACTGATTCCCATCTGCCTTGAATTGTAAGTTATATTAAACAAATATTTTTGGTCACTCTTCTCACCAATCGATGATGACGACCTTCTTGCGGTCTTAGACCTTGGCGTCCTCCCCGAACTCCTTGAAGATGTCGATGGTGCCAAGGCATCAAGCAACACCCTGTGGCAACCAGCAAGAAAATAAACAAAGAACATTCAATAACGAATTTCTAATAACAGAGTTGTTGATGCATTTTTCCCACGTAATGATCAACTTGCACTTTGCATCTTTGCCTGAAAGACAAAGAAACATCAAGATCCAAAAATAATAATAATAAGAATGGACAGTTCAAAGATGCCCATAGGCCTACAAAATATGTAGCCTGGCAATCTCAGAATTTTATTTTATATCATCTGACACTGATAGAACAGCAAAGGAAAAAGAAATTATCACACCTTGCTCCTGCAGAAGTTCTCAGGGTAGAAACGACGTGTCCATTCCTCTGATTTGATAGATAGCCAAACGTCATTGGCAAGACGCGCATCCACGTCCGTGCTAGCAGCATGGCTGTCAAAGATGACATAGTAGAAATATTCAAAAGAGTGAAATTTATGCAACACATATCATATATATGATAAATGTGTCAAACAAGGCATATAATTCAGAGGAAGGATTTCAAGAACAGGACTAAGCTAAAGAGGTGGAAACATACCTGAGCCTTCAAGAAAGAGACAAGGAAGTAAAAAGGAATAACAGTTACTGCATGTGCAAATTGGAGCCTTGTCTTTTCATACATACCATCAGGGCAGTTTTCTACAATACCAATAATTTTTAGAGCGTTGCAACGGGAGAAGTAAAAAACGTCTTAAAACTATCAGATGTTGAAGAAAATAAGGACCAAAATCTATCTACACCTAAAAAGACTCTAAATTAATCATCTACCTGTTGATACCGAATCTCGCTCCTTCTCATGTATCCACGTCCGATACGAATCATCCTCCACTCGGGGCTCACGTGTCCACATCCTACCCGGTTCCAATACAGAGACTGTCAGATCCACGTGTCCGCGTCTAATACGAAATCCTCAAAGCTCACGCGTCAACATTTGAGAGATGAGGTTAATTAAAAAAAATAATCTCGGTGCAACATACTGGCATATATCTAGTTATATTTATCTATTTTTATTTTACTATTTTCATAAAAGTTAATGGCTATAATTTATTTTATGATGATCATGACATCCATAATAAGTTAATTTCGTTAATAATATGACAATATCCTATTAGGTTTGTAACGAATTAAAATACTGCCATTGTCCCAAATCGTAAGTTGTTCCAACCATTTTTAGATACATAACTTTTACTACGATTTTACATATACATTATGTCTAATCCAAATTCAAATCCAAATAGAAAAGGATAAGAATAGAAATTACCCTAATCTTATGTCTTATCCTATCTATATCAATACCTAGGAATCCTAAATCCTAATTCTAATAGATCTCTCCAATCACGGTAACTTAAATAGAAATCCTAATTATGTTTTTCCTCCATTCACAACTCCTGTTCTATTATCTATTTTTTTCGCGCCCAGTGTGCCTCCGTCGGAGACTCCAAGGCATCCAACTGTGTCCGTTTCTTTTTCCCTTATTTTGTTTTGTTTTTTTCCCGTTTAGTATTGTGTCTGTTTTTCCACGTAAGTTTTTGTTTCTTACACGTTCGGTTTCGTTTCTCTTTTTTCATCTTATTGTTTTCTTCCCCTTTCTGTTTACTTTATTTGTTTTTTTCCCACGTTGTGTTTCTTTTTTCCACCTTTTTTCATGTTTTGTTTTCGAAGTTGGATTGGTTTCGCAGGGAAAGAAAGAATAAGAAAACAAATAGCACCACAGACGCACTCCTATTTGAACTTGTCAACAGTAATTAACCTGGATAAAAAAAAGTAATAGAACAAGGTGTATGAGTCCAGGTCACATACACGACCCAATACGTTTTAAAATCGGACTCTGTGTCGCGCTAGATAAGAGCTATTTTAACTCGAATGAGTACGGGTTTATATAAGTCCGGACGGAAGAAACTCTCCATTACGCGGTAGTTACAGGGAGACAGACAAAAAAAAAAGGACGGACTAGAAAAAGGTGAAGAAAAATTTTACCTCTTTATTATTACGTAGAAAAGGTTCGCTTAGCCATGAGCAGAGGTCCGAGTCCTTACATTCCATAGTACGGCAAAGTAGGGCTGTTGACATGATCTTCTGCCCGCATGAGGGAGAGGAGTCGTCCACACGCGTGGCGAGCCTCAGGGTACCACTCCTATAATCTCTATGGCTGTCACTTTGTACGGGATAGCGGCGCCTGCAGAGGTAACCAGAATGGTGTCGTCGCCAGAGCATCCAAGCTTGATGCATGGTATTTTTGCTCCGCATAACGACGAGGTATTGCTGGATTGGAGCCGGAAAGGGTACCTGATCTCCAAACCATGGTCGCCGCACCGGGATGGTGGACAGTATCTGAAGTAGTCCGCATCATCCCCTGCCGTGGCCTTGTACCCTCCATCTTTGAGAAGACACAACAGCAGAGCTAGGACAAGTAATCCAGTCATCTCTTTTAGCGGTCCTATGCAGCAAGTTTTTGAGAACTCAAGTTCTTATGGATTAGCTTCAAGGACCGGGCCAAGTTGTGCAGTGGTGTTATTAATTGTAGTTATGTCGATGAGGAGGAAGTCCGCCAAGGACTCTGATTGAAAACTTGTTGCCGTGCTCTAGGGAGTCGAGTGCGACTGCAGAGTTAACACAAGCCAGTCCTGTCTCATCAACATTAAATAACTGTGGAAAAAAAGAAGCCCTTCCCTTTGGAAGAGGATTATTGGTTTGACTTGGAAAATATTTTGGTCCAAGTCAAGCAGCATCACAATCATGCAGGGCCAGCCTCTGGTAACTTAGTACATTATTGGCTTATCTATAATTAGGCTATCTTCATCACTCCTAACTTCCTAAGCTAGTAGCTAGCTTGCTGCATCCTGCACCGGAACTCTCTCATGGCGAACTCGTGTGCAGCATTTCTTCATCCTTCTGCTATCTAGCAAGCTTTATAACAACAACAACAACAAAGCATTTAAGTCCCAAACAAGTTGGGATAGGTTAGAGT